TGCATTCTTTAAGTTAGTGGATTTTAGGTACCTTGATTCAAAAATTGTTGCGGTATAATGCCGTTTGGGCTAACTTGAGGATACAAACAGACAAACAGATAAATGCAATGAGAGTTTTAGTAGCATATAGATTAACTCCAGGTAATTTCATGGAGACATTTGTGTAGTTTTCTTCACAGCAACATGGAAGTGATTTACCACTGCCTTCTTCAAGGCTGTCATAATTAAAGAACAGAGCCCTGCTCTGACTTAATCATTTCTTGGCACTATTGGAGACTTAATGGACAGGAGAACAGAAGATAGACTGTATTGTGTTTGTTAGTACTGGAAAATTCAAGGAAATCTTAATAACCAAAATTAAGTGCCAGTGATCTGTGATGGTAGACTAGATTATTAACAATGATTGCAGTCCTGATCAAATGATAATTGTTCTTCTATAGAAAACCAAATTAGATAAGTTACTCTGATTCATCCAGCTGAATCATGAAGTGCTGTCATGTTTATGGCAGAATGAAGAATTGCAATGAAAATGGAAATGTTCAGAAGTTCAATACTTGTTCTTTTCTAAACATATTTTGAGTCTGTCTTGCATAATAAGATTTTTGCCTCCCCCATAAGGTATTGTAGTTGCAGATGGGCTCCTTCCTTAATGGAAAATTGAAATAAATTTATGCTGTATCTTATCTTATTTAATTGGAAAGCATACAACATAATTAATGTTTTGAGGGTGGTAAGCAATTAGGTACTTGCAAGCCGTTAGCTAATATGTTGTGGTAATTTCTACATCACAGGTTTTACAGTTAAAAAACAAAACACCGAATGCTCCCAATTTATTGCAGGTTACCTTTCACCTTACTTGAATGGAGAAGTTCAGAGTGGGGCTATCCAAGTTTCAAAAATGATTTGGAAAAAGTTCCAGTTTGTTTAAAACAGATTTTTAAGAAATATAGGCAAATCCATTGAGGGAAAGGTAGGTTGGGTAGAGGTCTGGAGGGAATCAGAGAAATCTTCCCATCATTCTTGAGCAGCTGAGACTTGAGCTTCTATATATGGCTCACCCATAACCCCAGCCTGGGACTAATGCCACAGTTTCATGCTTGTGTCAATCACTTGAGAGCTTCCAATGCGGTGCTACTTCAGGGCTACTGTGGGAAATTAAAATGGTGCTTGATCTCATTCCATGCTCCTGGCTAGAACATAAGCCCAGAAGAGACCATGATGAAGGAAGATGTCCATCCATGCACATTTTGCTTGCCTGTCTTAAGCTTAGGGAGCGTTGAGCTGTTTGTGGACCTGAATATGATATTACGCAGTGCCTGACCAGCAATTTCATACTTGTTCAAGCCACTGAGATAAATGTTGAGGCCCTCAAGGTGATAGTCATGGAGAAAATAAAGTGATAAATAAAAGCAGTTATCAGGTTTGAGAATCTAGTTTTGAAATTCTCAAAAAGAGAGAAATGAGTAATGTAAAGAACAAGTAATACATGAATTAGTATATGGATGTGGTGAAAGCAAGGAGTTTTTCAAGGTTAGAAAAGTGTGGAGAAGTATAGTGAATGGTGTTGGTATAAACTAGATTTAAGAGGAGAGAACATACGTAGCTTAGGGTTGAATTGTGGAGTTCTCTGAGCTTGGTTGTTTGCTTGCAGACATGTCATTACCCAACTAGGTAACATCATCAGTGTCACACTGAATTCTGGGAGTCGAAATCCACACATCTTAAAGTTGCTAAGGTTGAGAAACACTGGCTTAGGGCATCAGTTGGCCTTCATCTGGCACCGGGAATGACTACTGCTTTGTTCCCTCAGTTGTTCCAGTGGAAGGATTTTCAGCCTGTTTGTGTATATTCAGAAGACTTGAAGGAGCCATGCTGAATCTTTAAATCGCTGCAACTGCTGCTTACCTTTGAGGGGTGATCATTTGCTCCTTTACAAAAGGCGTGATCTGTACAAGCCTAACAACCAGTGGCATAAGATTGATTTGCAAGAATGACAAAAATGCCAACTTAGAAGGTAGTCCTAGGATCAACAACTAG